GGCAGGGCTGAGGCTGGGGGTGTGAGATCCAGGCAGGTCTGAGGCTGGGGGTTTGAGGTGCAGGCAGGGCTGAGGTGGGGGCCTGAGATTCAGGCAGGGCTGCATCTGGGCGTCTGAGATCCAGGCAGGGCCGAGGCTGGGGGTGTGAGATCCAGGTGGGTCTGAGGCTGGGGGTTTGAGGTGCAGGCAGGGCTGAGGTGGGGGCCTGAGATTCAGGCAGGGCTGCATCTGGGCGTCTGAGATCCAGGCAGGGCCGAGGCTGGGATGTGAGGTCCAGGCGGGTCTGAGGCTGGGACTCTGAGGTCCAGGCAGGGCCGAGGCTGGGACTCTGAGGTCCAGGCAGGGCCGAGGCTGTGTGCTCCTGATCCCCGCGCCTGGGTGTGGGACGTGCGCTCCTCCCTGTGCTCTCTGGTGGTCGTGCTCTGTGCAGGTCCGTGTGCTGGTTCAGTCTTCTCATCAGGACCTTGTCGTATGGAACCAGGGCTCCCTCTAGCGACTTCATTTTCCTGATCCGCTGATTTTCGACCCCAGGGGCACAGAGTCCCGTCCTGAGGTCCTGGGGGTGCGGGCTTCAACCTGGGCCATGGGTCGCGCCGCGCCGCCCCTGCGGGCGTGTTTGCCTGCCGCGTGGGGGCAGCCGACACGCACAGCCCACGCAGAAGGCGAGGCCCAGGGCCCGAGGGGTGTGTCTGCTGGGGAGTCTTGGTGGGGGGCTGCCCTTCCGTGGTGACCGGGCCCCGTTTCTCTGTCCTAAAGGACGCCAGCGTGCGGATGAAGTGCATCCTGGCGCTGAAGGCGCTCTACGAGAAGAGAGAGTCGGCTATGAAGCTGGGCCTTTTCTTCCACAAGTTCAAGGTGAGTGAGATTCCGCGTCTTGGCCGACGGGGGCGCCAACCCGAAGCGTCCCCGTGGACGTGCGGACCTCGGGCCGCGGCCACTCGCGGGGCTTCCGGACCACCGGCCGCGTCTCCGCTGCCTGGGGCCGCGTCCTGCGGCCGCGAACCGGAAGCCCCCCCTCCCCTCCCCCCGGGGCCCGTCGGGACGAGAGCCGCCCGCGCTTCAGAGCGCACCAGGTGACACGGGCGGAGCGTGGGCACACCCCGGTGGGTCAGTCGCGTGCTGGCGGGAGTTTTCGGGTGTGGGAGCGGGAAGGGTCAGCGCCCGCCGTCCCGACGCAGGCACACTCCTGCCGCTGGGTTGCGAGGCTCCGTGCCCCGCGTGCAGGGCCGCTCAGGGACGGTGGGACCGAAGCAAGTGCCCGGGACGATGCGGGCTGGAGCCCACGGTGAACTTGTACTCAACCTGTTCCTGAATTTGGGGGCCGCGCTACCACCCGGGATGCTGCGTGAGGCCCCACTGCCCGACGTGGACGGCAGGGCTCGGCGAGGACTCCCCACCGCGGGGCAGGGCCGTCGGGGACTCGGACCGGGCCCCGTGGCTGTTTGGGAGCAGGGGTGGGGCCACGTTGGTGCCAGTGAATGTGCAGCCAGCGACGCGGGGCGGGGCGGAGGGGCGGGGGGCACCAGCAGTTTGTCTCCCCCTCCGGGGCGTGTGGGAGAAAGCAGCCTTCCTTGACCCCGTCGGGGTTCCCCGCTGGGCGTGAGCAGGAAACCCATGCGGGCGGGCCCCGCGTAGAGAGGCGCGAGGGGGCGGTTGGAAGTGTGCAGGGGAGATCTCTGGTGTCCACGGGGCCCCCCCCCCGGCCCCCCGGACGGAGGGCCTCCCGGAGGTGGTGGTGAGTCCCCATGGAGGACAGCGCAGTGCCCAACCTGTGCACCGACCGGGAGCCATGGCCCCTTCGTGAGCGCAAGGGTCGTGCAAAGTCACCTACGTAGGAGAGAAAGGCTGTGGAGGCTCGTGGCGGGAGGCGCACACGTCCTGTGGAGCTCATGTCCCCACGGGCTGGGTGCGCAGGTGGCTGGCGTCTTCCGGAGACTCGGCGTGGTCAGGGGCGCTTCCCGGCAGCCTCGAGGCTCCAGGGCTCCTGCCTCCCGATTTCTGTGCTGAGGAATTCCGTCTCCCCGTGGGTCCACATTAGCGACTGACGCCTGGGGACGCTCAAACTCTGGGGACACGTGGTTGTCACCACCGTGTGACATCACTGTGTGCGCGCTGCCGGCGTCTGCGGGGACCAGGGATGCGGCCCGATGACCCTCACGGTGTGTCGGACGCCCGCCCGAGGGGACGGCCCGGCCCCGCCCCGCCGCGTCCTCCATCCACGGTGCCGGAACCAAGCGTGCCTTTTGTGTTCTCTCGCTTCCCCTAGAAACGAATCCTGTCGATGACCCAGGACAGGCAGCCGGAGATCACGTCCGAGTGCATGCAGCTCCTGCGGCTTATATCCGAGTGAGCAGCCCTGCGGCCGTGTGGAACCGTGCGTCCGTGCGTGGCCCTACGTCCATGCGGAACCGTGCGTCCGTGCGTGTCTGTGCGTGGCCCTGCGTCCGTGCGGAACCGTGCGTCCGTGCGGAATCCTGTGTCGAGAGCGCGTTTCCAGGCCACGTGGGCGGCGGGCCGGTTGCGCTGGGCGCACAGTGACCGCGTGTGCTGCTGGCGGACCAGGGGGTGACCGTGTGCGGTGTGCAGCCCCCCCCCCCCCCGCCCCGCCCCGGCGTAGCTAGCATGGTCAGCTCGCATCCTTGGGTGTGTTTGCACCGCTGCTCAGTTGGAGATCTCTGTGGCCGGCGCCCTTGCGTACGATGCGACGGAAGGGCTTGTCGGGACCTGGCTTCCTGTTCGTGGGCTCGGGGGTTCCCTGTGGGGTCCCTTCTGCCGCTGCCCTGCATCAGGGGCTCTGATGGGGCCAAGGTGCTGGTGTACAAGAGGCAGCTGCAACCTGGCCAGGTCCTCAGAACCTTCTGGAAGCTCCCGGGTCCCCGCGTGCACTTGGGCTGGATACACACTGCAGGTGACAGGCGCCTCGTCGAGTCAGGTGTCAGACATTGATGTGAGACGTCTCTGGAACGGGGGACATGGGGACGCGACCTCCCACTGGGCCGCCAGGCCTAAATGCCGCGGTTGGTGCCGTGGGAACGTCCCGTGCCCTGAAGGCCAGCGTGGTGCCGTCTGTCCGCCCTGTGTGGAGGACGGAGTGGGGCCCTGGTGGGCGCCCGACCCTCCCTGGGTGTGCACCCCGACGCGGCCCAGACGGACGGAGGCTGTCGCAGCCAGAGACGGGGACGAGCACGAGCACCAGACTTCCCGTGTGTTGCGCGGAGGTCCCGCCAGTGGCCGGGACCACGTGGCCAGCACCCACCCGTCCTGCGCCACCGCCTAAGGGCAGTGGCTGGGTGATAAGGTGGCGTATTTTACCAGGGAGCCGTCTGGCCAGAGCCAGCCCACACAAGTGCCACGATCTGGGTCAGTGACCCGGTTTGCGAACGCGTGTCTGCGTGGACTCCTGTCCAGGGTGCTTTGCAGGCGGGCCGCGGGGCCGCGTGTCCCCTGATACTGACTTGGAGAAGCTCTTACCTGTGCGGCTTCCGACACGTGTATGCAAAAGCCCCCCGGGTGGGGACCTGAGCTCCCCCGTCTGCTCCCCAGCCGCCCCCTCCCCCCACCCGCCAGCGGACACTGACACACGGAACAGGCTCTGACGTGGCATACCACGTGTGTCTGGCTTCCTGCAGTCAGTGACGGTCTGCGAGAGTCGATGGTCAGAAGCCACGCTCTCACGAGGAGGTGTCGATGGGTGATGCCGTGTTGTCAGCCTGACTGCTGACGTGGTTGGAGGGGGCAGCTCCCACGTGATTCCAGAAAATCTGTGAGGAGTTTCCCAGATGGGTTAACACGTGAATCCCCAGATCAGTAAACCACATTGTCCTCTCCAGTGTGGTGGGCCACATCTAATCACTCGAAGGTCCGCGTAACAAAACGTGGAGGCAGTTCACATGGCCCGGCTTGACTCCCAGCCGAGGCGTCCCTCTTTTCATACCCTGGGCAGTCCCCCTCCCAGGTCCTGGGGCCGCAGCCACGTTCCGAGTCGTGGGTGGGCACCCGCTAACTAGGCTCGGTCGTGGGCAGAGCCCGTGTGCCCCACGTTGCACAGAACCAGGCGGCTTTGGGGTTTGACTTGGACAAGTCAAGCTCAGGGCTGACTTGGACCCCCCAAGGGTGCTCCTTGTGTGCCCAGAACCCCGAGGACAAACGCAGGCGTCCCCCGGGGTTGTCCCCCAGGCATCAGAGGTCGTCCACCACCGTTCAAAGCCCAGACTGGGAGGCGGGTAGGCCACCTGCCTGTGTTTCTACCGGTGTGAGAATGTCCCTGCGGCTGTGTTTGCACATCGCTGTGTTCTGCTCACGCGGGTTCACTGGATGCGTTTGGATAAAGGGTCACACTGGTGACATCCTCCCAGGTGGTGTCAGGGGTGTCCCCCACTCATCCACTGACTGCTCCCAGTATGGGTGACTGTGGACATCGGCCTCCTGTCCGTGGTCGCCCCCTGTGTGCCCGCCTGCTGCACATCAGTGATTGGCCCTGCATAGTTGCCCCTGCGTGTGCGTCCCACGCGGTTGCCTGCTGCCCCTGTGTGTGCGCCCGCTGCCCCCGCGTATGCGCCCCTGCGTGTGCACCCCTGTGGGGTCGCCCGCTGCCCCTCCAAGTGCGCCCCCGTGGGGTCGCCTCCTGCCTCTCCGTATGCGCCCCTCTGTGTGCGCCCCCGCGGGGTCGCCTCTTGCCTCTCCGTATGCGCCCCCGCGGGGTCACCTCCTGCCTCTCCGTATGCGCCCCTGCGTGTGCGCCCCCGTGGGGTCGCCTCCTGCCTTTCCGTATGCGCCCCTGCGTGTGCGCCCCTGCCCCTGTGTATGCGCCCCTGCGTGTGCACGCCCGTGCGGTCGTCCGCCGCCTCTCCATGTGCACCCCTGCGTGTGGGCCCCCACGGGGTCTCCCTCTGCCCCTGCGTGTGCGCCCCCTCTCGGTTGCCTGCTTGGAGTCAAGAGCACTGCTCCTGGGGAGGGTCAGGTGACAGGTGGCTCAGGTGCACATGTGAGGACAGGGTGGTTTTCCCTTCCTTTGGGGCTAGCAGTTGGCTGGAGGGGAAGGAACCCAGACACGGAGGCCCTACAGGGGGGAGGCCTTCCCAGGAGGCTGCTCACGTCGTCTTGGCTCACGTGGGTCCTTCTCGCATGGCCTCAGCTCCTGTCCTGCGACGTGGGCCGCCCCAGGGGAGCTCGGTCCGGCAGGAACTGCAGGGGCGGGGGGCACGTCTAGGAGAAGCCGAGGTTGGGGCCCTCGATTTAGCGAAGAGCCTCCCTTCGCTTTCCGCGGGGACAGGCGCCTGTGGCCGTGTCCCGCGTGCACGGGCCCCGGACTCACGTGCGTCTCCCCTCAGGCACTACGTGGGCGTGTTCTCATCCATGGAGTACGTCTTCCTGTTCCAGTTCGTGTACGCGGCCTACAGGCCCATGGCGACCGCCGCCGGCGAGCTCATCTGTAAGAGGTAAGGCCGGGACACGTGACGGTGTCTCCAGGGCTGTGATGTCACCGTGATGTTTCGGGGGGGTGGGGGGGTCCCGCGTCCTGCCAGGTGGAGTCGCAGATGGAGGAGGGTGGGGGCAGCGGGAGGCCCCAGGGACCAGGGGAACAGCAGGGCCCTGAGCAGGGGCTTGCACAGGACAAGCAGGTGTGCGCCCCGAGGCACAGGACAGGATGGATGGAAACGTCAGCGCAAAGGACGCGCGTGGCTGGGGGTAGATGCCCTTGATCCGCGTTACAGGCGCGCCCCTTCCCGCATTGGTCTGACCACGTGGTAGAAGCCCCCTCGAGGCCCCCCCGGCCTGAGGTCCTGTCCTGGGCCACCTGGCCGTGTCGCCCTCCCTAATGGGTCTGCGTTCAGGCGCGGGTCCGCGTCCTTTGGGGGTTTGACGTGCGGCAACAGGGGGCAGTCCTGTTGTGTGTTTCCGCTGCAGTGCTGGCCTGAGCTGGCAGTGGGTCGGACAGACAGAAGTCCCGTGTCCTGCGCCCGCGGCCTCCCGGCGCGCCTGCTCCTCAGCTCCCTGCGTTGCACGTGTGCGTGCAGGGAGCCACAGGACCTCGGGCACCAGCAGGTGCGCGGAGCCCCCCGTCCAGGCTGATGCTGGGGTCGCTCTTTCTGATCCCGCTAGGCTCCTGGCCCCTCCGCCCCAAGAAGGTGTCTTTGGTCAAAACCCTCCCGACGAGTTTGACAGAAACATCCAGAACATGAAGACGCTCATCGACTTCTACCTGCAGGGCGAGGTGAGGGTGTGGCAGCACAGGGCCCGGGGCCGGGTTGTCCGAGTCGCGGGAGGGACCTGGACCCGTGTCCTGCAGCCCACGTTGCACGCCACGTCCCGTGTCCCACACCCCGTGTCCCGTGCCGCGTCCTGCGTCCGGTGTCGGGCTGACGCGGGGCTTGCTTCCTGTGTGAACGCCTGCCATGGGCACACGGGCGTCGGGGCTCTGGGTGGGTGTCCCCGTTTGTCCTCACGTGTCCACCACATGGGTGGGTCGGGGAGGGGGCCGTTCCTGCCCATGTCCTCACGTGTCCCCTCCACCAGGGGTCACCACGTGTCCACCCCTGGTTGTCACACGTCCCCTGTGTCACCAGGTGTCTGCCTGTGTCATTACGAGTCCCCTCTGTCATCACATGCCCCTCACGTCACGTGTCCTTTCTGTGTCACCACACGTCCCCCGTCGTCACGTGTCCCCCCGTGTTGTTACGTATCCTCCTCGCCCTTGTCACGCATTCCTTCTACGTCGTGTTGTCATGTGTCCCCCTGCGTCCTCACACGTCCCCCTGCCTGTGCCATCACACGTGCCCTGTGTCCGTAGTGTCCCCCGTGCCACGTATCGCGTGCTCCTGTAACATCATCGTGTCTTTCCTTCCGCGTCGTCACGACTTTACACGTGTGGCCCGTCCCTGTCAGTTCCACAGACACGTCCCATACCTGGTGGACGGCCTGTGGGACGCGGCGCCCGCCCTGGTCCGGAACTGGGAGTGCATGACGGCCCTGCTGCTGGAGCCACGTGGCGGGCGCCAAGGTGAGCGTGGCCAGAGGCCGGCTCTGAGTCGTGGATGGGGGCCAGCGATCCCGCTGGCCTCCCGGCCGTCCCTGCCAGGCACACCATCCCCCCGTCCTGCCGTCCCTGTTCCTCTGGGACCCACTGGCTGCTGTGTCCCGCTGCCCCCGTGTCCTTCCGTCCCTGTGTCCTATGTCCCGCTGTTCCCGTGTCCCGCCGTCCCCGTGCCCTGCCGTCCCTGTTCCTTTGTGACCCACCAACTGCTGTGTCCTGCTGCCCCCGTGTCCCGCTGTCCCCTGTGTCCTGCTGTCCCTGTGTCCCACTGTCCCCCGTGTCCTGCTGTCTCCCCTGTCATGCTGTCTCGTGTCCTGACATCCCTATTCCTCTGTGACTTGCTGTGCCCCCCCCCGTGTCCTGCTGTCCCCTCCTGGTGTCTCACTGTTCCCTCCTCCCCATGTCCCACTGCCCCCAGGCCTCCGTCCTGCCAAGCGTCTGTCCATACAGGCAGTGACACAGCCCTGTCGAGCCTCCTGTGCTGCACCCGCTCCCTGAGTGGCTGCTTGGGGAGCATACCCATGCTTTCCCGCGGTGAGGGGTCCTCAGGCCTCGAGGCTGGGGTGTCACAGGGCTCTAGTGTGGGGTCCACAGGACGAGGGCCACAGACTGACTTCCCATAAGAGGATCAGCCTGGGGAGCCACGGAAGCCCAAAGCCTGGGCCCCAGAGTCAGGGTGCAGGGTGGGCAGAGCGCCCAGCGGATGAGCCCCCAAGCAGCTGGGGTGCCCTCGCCTGCCCCTCCAGGCCCAGGAGACAGCCCGTCCTCCCTGCCAAACTCCCCTCGGCAGACACAGCTGTCGTCGGCCACATCCAGGAGTCCCGGTGCCATTTATGACGTAGCCCAGGCCTGTCACGTTCCTGGAGGGACCCGCAGCTCTGACCGTGCTCCTTGGGGTCCCAGAAGGGGCCTGTTTCTTTGTCATGGGGATGCCTCCTTTCCTCTGACTGAAATCTCTGGGGCCCAGCTGTGTGGTCTGTGTTTCTTGGCTCTGACTGTGTGCCTGCTCCTGCTATGCCTGGGCTCATAGGGCTAGCTCCAGGACATGACAGACTAGGCACGAGACCCATGTGTGACATTCTCAGGCTGGCTGTGAGACATGATCTCAAACTCAGGAGTTAAATGAGAGTCCATCCTGTCTTAGGTCTGGAAACCAGAAGTCTGAGATACAGGCAGGGCAGGACCGCTGAGATCCAGGAGGGGGCAGGACCTCTGAGATCCAGGCAGGGCAGGGCCACTGAGATCCGGGGGGGCAGGGGTGCTGAGATCCAGGAGGGGCAGGGCCACTGAGATCCAGGCAGGGCAGTACCACTGGGTCCAGGAGGGGCAGGGCCACTGAGATCCAGGGCGGGCGGGACCTCTGAGATCCAGGAGGGGCAGGGCCACTGAGATCCAGGCAGGGCAGGGCCGCTGAGATCCAGGCAGGGCAAGGCCGCTGAGATCCAGGAGGGGCAGGACCACGGAGATCCGGGGGGGG